AACTGTATTTGGAAGAAATTACTGCTGGTTGAAACGATCAGTCCTGTGTGGACAATCTGTTGTACTGAATGGTTTCTCTTGCTTAGGCTGATTATGGAGGGGGTGCAGAGCCAGCTCGGAGGGTGCTTTGCTATTTGCCTGTGACAAGGAGGGCTGTAAACCTCCCAAATTAAAAAGCTCTCCTGGCTTCTGGTGCTAGGGAAACAGCACGATCTTTTTCATACAAGGTAGCTGGAGATCAGTGGCAGGGATCAGTTTTTGGCCATACCACCCCTGGTCTGACCTGTCTCTTCACTCTGTTCCCCAGTGCTGGCTTTTTCTCCCTGTTCCTCCATTATCTGGGACACCACAGCCCCACATTATTCTGAGTTTTTGAAATAGGTGGCAACTGTTGGCGGTAATACTGAGTTGTACACTGGAGGGCAGTATATACTTTGAAAATGTTTTCTATTTAGTAGCTAAAGCTCTTCTATTTTTCCAGGCTCTTGTTTTGAACCCAGTGCATATGTTTCTTCACAGTGTTGTTTATGTATGAGGACAGCATGTTAAAGGAAGGTGCCCAACTGTTTGTGATTTGCGTTTTTAAATTTCACACTACAAAATCTATTGTGAACTGGAGAGCCAAGCATTTCAGATATAATCAACTGTTTAAGAAGATGCAGTTGCTTTTCCCTTTTTAATTGTCCTGTTCCCTTGCAATACATTCTTTCATCATGTCAGGATTTGGTAACCTTATAGCTTTGCTGTTTGAGTTGGTTTTGTCAAGTATCTGTCACACTGGATGCCATCAAACTTTAGGAGGAAACCTGTAGTGTGAGCAGCTTGATCTCTTTTCTACACTCATCAGAATCATCAGAATCGCTCGTTTCAAACATGGGCTGTGGTACTGCTGCTGTTTGCCTGTAGCTGAGGGAGCTGACTGTCTCCCCTGAGAGTAGCATCGACGAACCAGATTCTCCTTCACAGTGCCCAAAGTTTCATGTACTTCATAGTCTCACTGGAAGCAAAACGTGTGGAATACGCAACACAGAACCACTTCTGTCACACTCAGTTTTGAGAGGCAGAATCTCCTCCAGGGCAATGGGAAACAGCAAGACCATGCAGTTACCTTTAAAAATAAAGACTCAAATTTATTTTTCACAATGAAAGTTTTATTTTTAAGCATAAGGGAACATTTAAGAAGTCTCTTTGCTTGCTGCTTTGGTTCTTCTCTTTTGGTCCATGAATACAAATCCCATTCTTGTCTCTTTGTTGCTGCATCCCAAAAATCACCTACATTCTTTTGTCCAAATTGTCACCTTGGACTCAGCTCTTGAAGTGATGGTCGAGTCATGACTCTCAACTCTTTTCTTTAAGTTTTTTTCTCCTTCCTTTTTTGTTACTGCAGACTTTCAGTCCCATAACTTGGGCTCTGTCTTTGACTTGTCTACAACCTAATATTCTGGTTAAGTTAAAGTCCTGCATACTTTGTGTAATAAATTTAAGATACACATTTCCTTTTTCATCCCTACAGATAGTGCATTCATCCATGATCTCCTCACTGAAGTCATCTGTGGCCTTGCAGTGTCTTCAGCCCGTGAGATCTGTCCAAACTAAAACAATAAGATCATTTTCCTGTCTTCCTGTTTTGGCTATTTTGTGTGTCTTGCTACTGATTTCCTCCTCTCTGCGGAATACAGTTAAAAAGAGTTATAAGCTAGTTGTACTATTATACAGAGCCAGTGACACTACCTTATCCCACTACTAGTTTCTCACTGAGTGGAGTCCTGTACCCAAGTCCATGATTCCAGCCTTCACTACACCTGTTGCAAGCAAAGTACCTCCCAGCTGCCTTCCATGTTGTCCCTCACTGTGGGGGAATCTCCCATAAACATAAGCGACTCAATTTTTATTCACCCTCAAATCCTTCCTTAAAGGCTTTTTCTTTGGTGCAGTGCTAACAAAAGCAGTAATACAGTTAAACTGCCAGTCTTCTGACTGCTCTTGAGCCTGTTAATGAAAGATGCTTCATTATTTTTTCTTTCTCTGATTGCTGTTTTTTGCTGTACCTGAATCACAAGTTGTTGGAGGCACGGTCTCCTGTCTTCTCACTTTGTGTTTGTACAGCATGAAGTCCATGATCACAGGCCCAACATTACAATGCCTGTGTGCTAGCACAAATACCAAGAATTAGCATCTTCCTATGGAAAACACTATTTAAACATCCACTGTGAAGGATGGGTAAGGCTTCATAAATATAAATAATTGGGAAATAACACAATCTCTCTGTTAAAAAAAGATTTGTAGTGTTTAACTCTCAGGTGTGACTTACAATTCAGGAATTCTGAACAAAAAAGGAAATGACTAAGCCCAGATGACTTTCCCTGTCACTGCTGTGGTGAAAAGGGTATATCCTGGCTGGTCTGCTTTAAGTTTCCTTTTTTCCAGACCATCAGAGTCACATTTCATTTGCAATACCCCCTGCAGCCCATCTGCTCAGCCATCTCTTTCCTTTTGTCTGCACTTCCAACTCTTGCTCTCCCCAGATTCCAGCCTTTCTTGTGACCTCTGTCAGTGGTTACACATGCTCTTGTGGCTGGTGCCATTCCTGACTATCTGCCTGCAAATCCACCACTGTGGTGGGTTGACCCTGGCTGGAGGCCAGGTGCCCACCAGAGCTGCCCTGTCACTGCCCTCCTCAGCTGGGCAGGGGAGGGAAAATAGAAGGAAAGGTTGGTTGGTCGAGAAGAGAACAGGGAAGAATCACTCACCCATTACTGTCATGGGCAAAACAGACTCAACCTGAGGAAATCAGTTTAATTTGTTACTAATCAAATCAAAGTAGGGTAATGAGAAATAAGAACTTAATCCTAAAACACTATCCCCCCTGCCCCTGCTTTCATTCCTGGTGTTTCAGCTTAGCTACCCATTTTCTCTACCTTCCCCTGAGCAGCACAGGGGGATGGGGAAGCGGTGTTACGGTCAGTTCACCACTGTCTGTGCTGCTTCTTCCTTCTCACACTCTTCCCCTCAGCACCAGCCTCGGGTCCCTCCCATGGGAGACAGTTAACGAACTTCTCCAACATGAGTCCTTCGCACAGGCTGCAGTTCTTCACCAACTGCTCCAGCATGGGCCCCTCCCATGGGGTGCAGTCCCTCAGGAGCAGCCTGCTCCAGCCTGGGTCCCCAGCGGAGTCACAAGTCCTGCCTCCAAACCTGCTCCAGCCTGGGCTCCTCTCTCCATGGGGCCACAGCTCCTGCAAGAAGCATGCTGCAGTGTGGGCTTCCCATGGGGTCACAGCCTCCTTTTGGCATCTCCCTGCTCCAGCGTGGGGTCCTCCCCGGGCTGCAGGTGGGTCTCTGCTCCCCCGTGACCCTCCATGGCTGCAGGGCACAGCCGGCCTCACCACGGGCTGCCGGGGAATCTCTACTCAGGCGCCTGGAGCGCCTCTTCCCCCTCCTCTACTGACCTGGGTGTCTGCAGAGTTGTTCTCTCACATATTCTCCTCTGTCCTGCTGCGGTTGACCCTGTGCTGTGTTTTTTAGCCCAGCTCTTAAACACATTATCCCAGAGGCGCTACCACCATCGCTGATGGGCTCGTCCTTGGCCAGCAGAGGTTCTGTCCTGGAGCCGTCTGGCATTCCCTCTGTTGGAAACTGAGAAATCTTCTAGCAGCTTCTCACAGGAGGCATCCCTGTAGCCTCCCTCACTACCAAAACCTTGCCACACAGAGCCAATACACCTACCCAGCTATTCTGCTCACTCACCAGCTCAAAGAGCAGGTCATCAGTCTTTGGGACTTTCAGCTGTTGCCTGGCAAGGTAAGCAGTTGTACTTAATCCGAATTAATGACAATGGAAGGGAAGTTTAGGGCATTAAGAGAATATTAATAGGTCTGTCAGGGTGCTAATTAATGCCAGAGTTGGTGATCCTTCATCAGGGTTGAACATTACTCTCTGATCTGGCCAGACTGTCTATCAGTTCCAAGTGCAATTCAAGGGATTGGCTTTGACCTAAAGAGACCTGAGAGATTATCTTTCTACACGTCCACATCAACAATGCTTTTTGCAAATCAACTCATGGAAGGAAGGAAGGAAGAGATTAGATAGGTTCATTCTTGAAACCTTATTCCTCTTTTCTATAAGCCAAGCATTTATGTGGTTTTGGCATTACAAAACCCTTGCCCATAAACAAAACCAAACCAGTTCTTTGTTGTCTAAATGCTGATTTTGGCATAATCCTTATGGCCTATTCATGACTGCATGGCTGAAGGTTTGGCAATACCAAGCAGTTCATGTACCAGTGCAGCACTCATTGCAGTAGCATATTTTAAGCATCCTGA